CCAAGACGAGAGAGGGATCGTGTAATTGGTTAGGGAGACTGGAAATTGGTTAGGGCAACAGTGGGTCTACCCAATTGGGTTTGCAGTCTTAATCCATTTAATTTAATCGGGGAAGTTAGTAGGACTAGGATGAAAACAATCTTAACGCGTAAGGAGGCTTTTTGTAATTTGTTTAGTTATTTAGTGGCGCAGTTAGGTTCAAAAAACGTGATTCGTGGATATTGAGAATGAATGGTTAAGATCGGCTAAGGTACCCGTACCCCGTATTTTTCCCTGGGCACCGTAGAAGTCACCATATATATATATATACACACAGATACATACATATATACATATGGTGCCTGTATGTGTGATTGTATGTTGAAATATGACTGGTTTTGGTGGCTATGTGTTTACTTGATTGGAAATCTTTGTACTTGTCATACTTGATGAAATATGATAGGACATGGGGTTATGGATGCGAAATTGATATATGGTATTGTATGGCTATATGAGCATCGGATGTGGTAGTTATGAGTTGGGGTAACCAAGTAACGCCTTTAGATTGCTCGGTCTTAATTCTGATATCTTGAGCTTTGTGCATGAAGTGACTGTCTTGAATAAGTGGTTGAGTAAAGTCCATGTTGGTTGGTGAGCAGAAGGGAGACTCTTCCTTTGCTCGACTTTGCTGCACTCGAATGTCATCTGTGGTGGTTGTCGTTGAGGTTGTCCATGTGTTAATGATCAAAAGCCAGCATGATTCACGTGTTTTGTGCCGATATGACATGTCCCTAAAGCCTGCTTGATTAAAACGTTTTGAGCTTACCTTGTGTCTGACTTGGTTTGCTTGGGGACAAGCAAACGGTTAAGTGTGGGGGAATTTGATAACGATGTATTTGCACATGTTTGCACCCTTAGTTCTTATCCGTTTGCGGCTAGTAGTTGTGTATTTTTTGCCCGTTTTACGCTGGGTTGTTCTACTTTGTCATATTTCAGGTCCCAGACGTCGAAGGAAAGGCTAAGAATGAGATTCGGGGCGTTTGGAGGTCATTCGGTCGAGCTAGGGGCAAAACACGGGCAGGAGGCCTGAAAAACACGGCTGTGTACACAAACAGGCACGACAGTGTTTTTATGTGCGAGAGCTGAACTGGTGGAAAAGCAAAACACGGTCTGGCCTAAATAAAAACACGGTCGTGTCCATATTTAGGCACGACCGTGTTTTGGCCGACGCGGGCGTGTTTTTAACACGTGGCAAGGGCACGGACGGGCAAAAGCAAAACACGGCCGTGCCCTCAACCGTGTTTTGCCCAGAATCGGGTTTTTGAGGCAGATTTGAGCCAAAAGAGTGGGAGTCGACTTTTGGGAGCAAAAACAGAGTTTTAGAGAGAGAAAGTGCGAAGAACAAACCCTATGAGCTATTTGGAGTGGATTTCTCACCATTAAAGCCCAGATTGCATCCCCAGGAGTGAAGATTGACATTCCAGAGCAGATTTTCCTCATCTTTATGAGTATGACTACTCTGATTTCTGTTTTCCTCTCTCTCTCTCTCTCTCTCTCTCTCTCTCTCTATGGAGTAGAACTCTCTCTCACTTGGGTATGAAGAACCCTAGTTCCATGTGTTAGGAATCTTGATTGTAATTACGTTTGGATTGTGATATTGCTTGATTATAATCGATTGAAGTGTTTTGATTGAGTCAATTGAAGTCTGATCATCTTTTATTGATTTCTGCTGCAACCTGAGATAGATAGAATCTGATTAGGTTGTTAGAGCTTCTTCAATTGGTAGTAGTGAATCGATTATACGAGAGTTAGTTGATTCACTGCTTTGTACTGGAATCTAATTCCAGTAGTGGAGTTCTGTGTTCATTGCCTCAGCGTTCTATCCCGGTGAAGACTAGTCGTCTGCCGGGTAGTTTGACAGAGAGGGCTTGGTCAGCTTAAGAGATTTCAAGCTATTGTCGGATCTTCCGCAGTATAATCAGCAGTAAAGCAACCAAAAGTAATTACAACTGTGACCTAACTAAGGAGCTAGGGGGACTCATTCCCGAGTGACTCTTCCCTTGCTTTAGAAAACCGAACCATTTCCTGCTTTCTTACTGCTTTTAGTTAAAATCACAATCACTCGACTTAGTTTGCTAGATAATAGATAATCACAGAGTAGGCAGTAAATCTAGACCCCGAGTTGACAATTAGAGCTTGCCTGTTACTGCATTTCCAAATTGCGATTACACTTGGTCGCAGTTTGGTGTTGTGTTTTAGCGTGTCAGGCGTATTAAGTGGTATCAGAGCCTGGTTCTACACAAGGGCGATGAAGAGTACGGATACTTCATGTTTCGTACAAGCAATTTTTGTAAAAAACAGAGCAGCCCCTGTTTATGCTTTGTAGTTGCTGTCCGTAGCTAAATCGCAATGGCAAACGTGATTGGAGCTAAGAAGTTGATAGAGGGCAGCACCGAGGCCAAGCACCCACGAAATTGTAGCAAAGAAACGTCTCCAACAATCATAATCAAGCATAGAGAGTCCGAAGAGCAGCGGGACAACTAATTTCATAGCCGATGTGAGATTAACGGCAAAATCGCTTCGTTGGTGATCGATGGAGGGAGTTGCACGAATTTGATCAGTACGTATGCCGTAGAAAAGCTTGAATTGAAGAGCACTTCTACTATGCTATATAGTATTGGTGCTTTAATGTACAACTTAAAGTTGTACCATAACATTAAATGTATAAGTTTAGGTTGTACCATAAAGCAATTTGTACCATTATGTTATGATACAACTTTACAACTTGAAGTTGTACCATCACATAAAAGTATAAGTTCAAGTTGTACCATAAAAGAATTTGTACAAAAAGTATAGGTACAATCTGAAGTTGTACCATAACGTAAATGTACAATTTTAAGTTGTACCATAAAGGCAAAATCCTATAGCACCAATACTATATAACATTGTAAAATTTCTCTGAATTGAAAACCCAGAAGCACCCTAAACCGTATCATCTCACCTGGCTCAACGAACATGGAGACGTGAAGGTCAACAACAAGCACAAATAGAATTCATCATTGGTAAGTACAGAGATACGATTCTCTGTGACGTACTTCCAATGCAAAACGTTCATATTCTGTTGGGTAGACCTTGGCAATTCGACAGAAGGGTGCTACATGATGGCTGGGAGAATTCATATACGTTTAAACATGTGGGCAAGAAGATCAAATTGAAGCCTATGTCCCTCGATGCAGTTTTTGCTGATTTAAAACATATGGAGGAGAATCGAGCTACGGGAAAGGAGTCACAAGCTCAATTGTGGGTTCAGAGGCGAGTTTGCTTCAACTTCATGAGCTTTAGAAGGCCACAGAAGCGAAAATTCCCGACGCAACCCGTTGCACAAATTGACCCCTGTTCTGCCCAGCAAGAGCTCTGTTTTGCGCTGGAGAAACAGGATGTTGAGGAGCAAGACAAATCCGAGGAGGTACAGGACGATTCGAACACGCAGGAAAGTGCATAAGTTCTCTTCGATGCTAGAGGAATTTCGATCAGTGAAGCTGTGGCGCTGGAGATACCTGAAGTCGCTCGAATCAAGCCATTGAAGGAGACTACGACACACTGCCACGTTCCTACGAAACAGAGCATGAGAGAGAACAAATTGGTTGGAGAACTGGGGAATGAGTCGAGACTCGCCACCGACGCAGAAACGTTCCTTCCGACCATAAAAACGTCGCCCGTAGCTTCAATGGAGGTGGCCTTGCCTGCAAGGGAAACCTCAAACTCGCCAGTGATGCCTCTATTTGGGACGAACAAGGGTGGCCAAGACCACTTCTTGTGCAGCATACCTGTTAGAAACAATGTTTCTAACGGGTTCGATGATTGGGGATTTAGGGATTTGAAGAATAGAATTAGGGATTAAGAGGTAGAATTTGGGGAAGAACAAGAAAGAATGGCCGACGGTCGGATTAGGGAAAGAAGAGAAATTGAGATGATTTGGGAGAGAATAGAGTTTAGGGATTTTCTTAATATGCTTCTTATTGATTCTGAATGGAAGCTCAAAGTACATATATATAGGAAATAGTGGAAAACCCTAACAATAAACCTAATTCTATTAAATGACTACTAACCTTAATAAGACTTACCCTAATAATAATTAAAATAATAAATATAGAAACCCTAGATAAATCGGTTTCTAACATCTCCTCCCTCTTCAGACCAACCTTGCCCTCAAGGTTGATCGACTCGACCCATTTCTTCACATCTCCCGCGCAATCCGCGTTTTGCCTTCTCCACTCCTTGCGCTTTCTTTTCTTCCAATCACACTCTAACTCTTCACTTAGACTTCTTGCACCGACATGCTTGTTTCGATCCCACTCTTCAAATTTCACTTCCATGGACCCATGATTTGCTTCCTTATCCGAGAAGCCATCTTTAAGCACCAATCCAGGAAGATCCTCGAACTTAAACAATTCTGCGGTCATCGCCCTCCAGAGACTCAAGGAACTCAAGGATTTGTTCTTGTTCAAGAACCCGTCCTTGAGTACCATTTGATCAAGGCCTTCATAAATTGTTCTTGGGGCAAGCCCATCACTTTGATTTGTTGCTTCTTCCATTAATTTTGTGCCTTGCTTCCTTGGAAGCCCACCAAATAAGCTTTCAAACTCATTTTCTTTTTCCTCCAAGCCCACCTTCATCAAAACACAATTTCGATTGGGCTCAAGTACTCCGTGCAGACGCGACCCAATAGTCTTATTCTGGAGCCTAGAGACTGGTACAAGAATCTGGCTCCTTGCAAACTTCAGCCTAGACCCCAGGTTCTCGTCGGCCCCTTTCTTTCTCAGCTGCGGCCCGCGACTTGACCCAAACAGAGCCCAAGTAACAAAATTTCCAGCCCTAATCAACTGGTTCAGTCGGCCCAGAATGAGCCCACCATTCCTCTTCCAAGTCGGCCCGTGATAGAGACCCACCTCAGCTGGGCCTTTGACCCCATTGACCGAAGCAGCTCGGCCCAACGGAAATAACGAGCCCACTTCTATCTGCTACTGGGTCGTTTGGGCAAGAGGCAGCAGAGAGTTTGCGAGCCAAAGTAACTCACCGCCGCCAACCTCCTGTGTCACCTTCTTCATCCTTGGCGGGAAGAGCACTTTGCCGCCCCCGCCGCATCTCTTCTTCTTCCCTTCCATCGCCGAGTCTTCCATCACCGGCGGCGATGGCCTCCTCAGTTGACGGAAGGACAGACTCAACCCATCTTTTGCCCAATATATTGATGTGGCCACCAATTCTTCAGGTCCATTCCATTGGCCCATGTGACTTGATAATTTTGGCCCAACTCCATTTAGAAGGATACATGTCAATCTGCTCATGTAAGGCCCAAGCATTGGCTTTTGTACCAAAGCCTCATTCGAACCAAAGAATGGTCCACAAACTGGTTCTGGATCGGTCCACTCCCTTCCAAATTTCAGTCTGTGCTCAGGCCCTAATTCAGCCCATTCCTTTCCTCTTCCTGGCCCACTCAATCGATCCCCTTGGTCTGACAAGAGCCCAGCCCGCTCACGCCCTTGCTGCTCCGCTCGGGTCAAGGCAATCGCCCCAGGGTTCGTGGGAGGAGAACCGATGCCGCCACAACCCTCCTCCGCCTTCTTCGTCCTTGTCGCGCCATCCACCATCGCCGAGGATTCCTGCTTCTCCAATTCTGGCGACGCAACCCGGCTAGCCGCCGCCTCCAACTTTGCTTCCTCATCAATCGGTGGTTCGCAGGGAAAAAGGTTGGCGCCACCACCTTTCGTCTTCATTCCCAGCAGACCCGTAGTCAGTCGTCGCGCTCCTCACTTGATTCGGAACTCCGGCGAGATGACCTAGTCGTCTTTCACTTTCTCCTGCGGCGCTGCCTCTTTCTCTGGCGGTTTCCGCATTCCAATTGACGAAGCGAAAAAGTCCGCCGCTAACCGCCGCGTTCCTCGCGCGATGCAGGGCTCCGACGGAACAAGCCAGCAGCGGGTTGGCGTCTCAGCTTCCCCCAAGCACTGGTTCGGCTTCTTCTTGAACTTCCAGTTGATTCTGCAACTCTGCCTTCGCGAACCTCCAATTGGAGTTGTGGGCTCTCGGAATTTCACTGAGGTTCTCTCCAATTTCAGATCTGGTGGAGTCTCCTTGGCGCATGATTCGTCCTTCCCGGCAGGGGACATGGTGCTCCTTGGCGCGGCCGCAATGTTAGTGGTCGCTGCTGATGAGCCATCGTGGACGGGTGTGGCGGTAATAGCCGAAAGCAGCTGCTTCTCGTTCTTGTTGCTCGTCTCGACGCCGTCATCCACCGCAGAGCTTATTCGAGACGGCTGCTCGTCAGGTCCGCCAACACCTGTGGGCGGCTGCTGCCTCGCCGTACCATCATTACCACCGTCCTTCGCGTATGCTTTCTCACGACGCAACGCGTATGACTTCCATTACTCCATGATCTGCCATAATCTTTCCTGCTTTTGAGCCCACGTCAGCTCCTATATATCAGTTGAACTCATCTGGATTTAATCTGGTAGGAAGCTATCCCTGAAAGAGTTTTGATGAACTCATCTTCCGGAACCGGGCTCTGATACCAGATGTTAGAAACAAAGTTTCTAACGGGTTCGATGATTGGGGATTTAGGGATTTGAAGAATAGAATTAGGGATTAAGAGGTAGAATTTGGGGAAGAACAAGAAAGAATGGCCGACGGCCGGATTAGGGAAAGAAGAGAAATTGAGAGGATTTGGGAGAGAATAGGGTTTAGGGATTTTCTTAATATGCTTATTATTGATTCTAAATGGAAGCTCAAAGTACATATATATAGAAAATAGTGGATAACCCTAACAATAAACATAATTCTATTAAATGACTGCTAATCTTAATAAGACTTACCCTAATAATAATTAAAATAATAAATATAGAAATCCTAGATAAATCGGTTTCTAACAATACCCTAGCTCCATTCGAGCCAAATTGGCTCTGCAGAATCGTCAAAGGCGATGTATGGAAGTTGTGGGATTTCTCAATTCAACACGAAGAGAACAAAATAAAAAATACCCAATCTGGGTTTTTTGACCCCAAACGCGAAGAACAACAAGCACGAGAAGCGTGAATTGGTTGCAGGTTTTGATTGTGATTCGATCCAATCGAATGTTTGGAATCGATTCTTGGGTGCCAAAAGATGGTGTAGGTGCGCAGAAATTGGTACGAAAATGCCAGAATCGCAATTCCCAAATTTCAATTTTGGGTCGCAGGAAACTAAAATTCACTCGCCGGAATATGGGAATTTTGAATTTCCCGACGGTGGGAAACACGGGAAGTTGAATTGGAGGCGGTTTACTCAATTTCGACGCACGGGAGTAGTTGCGTTCCATTCATGGGATCGAGATGAGTCAATTGGGAGCAACGAATTTGATCGGGGAGGTCCTGAGAAGAAAACCCCAATTTGGAAGACCTCGCCGGCGCCGGATTCTGGAAAATTCTCGCTGGAGTTCGAAAAATTGCACGAGCCGATTCTGGGTCAAATTTCATTCGATTTTTGTGAGGGGAAGGTCCATTGGAGTCCCACAAACATGATGAAGCTCAAATCGTGGGAAATTGGATATCAAGAAATTGTTTTAAAGATAAAGTTGCCCCATGTTTCCAATGATATGCTTTTTGGATCCAGAAGATGTGATTAAGGTTGTTTTCCAAGGCCTCAAAGTTGCTACCTCAAAACTGGAAAACTGCCAGAAAATGGCTAAGGCAGAAAACTGTTTTGTGAAGCCTACTTTGGAGCTCAATTCGAGGAGTATGGATCTGATTCAAGTCCAAAGGCTTCCACAACATGAAACTAGGTATGTTTATGTACAGAGAGAAGGAATTGGATGAAGGATTGGAGTTCTGGAAGGCCTCGAACGAAAGGCGCGAAGTTAGTACGAAAGTTGCTTTTGGACTATTGCTGGCAGCTTACTTGCGCTTCAAGAAAGGGAGTTTAAACCCGAATTTGTGTCCTTTTTAGTGTAGACTTTTACCTTAATTGTTTCCTAGTTATATTAGGATTGTATTAGGTTTTATTTTCCTTTAAATACCGTTCTATTTACGTTGTAAAAACTTACACTTTGATGAATAGAAAAGAAACCGTTTGGTTTGTGCAAGTTACGACTTGTTTTGGGTTTGGTGGATTCCAAACTTGTTGAGCTTGTGTATCGATTTAATAGTCACTTCAATCGTGGTCGAGCAACTACCCTTTTATACCAATCGAGCTATCCCTAGGTGTGGATTTGTCCTTTTGGTTCCGTTTAATCCAAGTTCGTATTAAGAACGCCTCGTTCTTGATTCGAGCTCAATCGATTCTTCGATTGAGTCGTTAGCTGCGTGACTTTGATAACATACACCCCCAGGGGCGTATTAGTCATTCTTCATAATCAAAACCCTATCTTGATTTCCAACCGGTGCTCTGATACCACTAGTCACGACTGCTTTCTACAGATTGAGAAATAGGAGGATTCGGCAATGCAAGAAAACGAAAGCACAAACACACACACGACACACGATTTACGTGGTTCACTAACACAATATGTGTTAGTTAGTCCACGGGCAGGAGAGACCCAGTTTCACTATACTTCAAGCAGATACAGATTACAAAGGAGTATGAGAAGTATTTACAGTACTTCTCCTAGGTCTAACCCTAATCCAATATGGTAAAGGAAAAGTGGTTACAACCAGACTTAGAATACGAACCCATATAACATTGAGCCCAAATAACAATGAGAACCTTGTGATTTACAGTCGTAGCAGCTGATAGTCCGATTAAAGGCAAATCAACACCTGACATCGGAGCACTCCGAAACTTCTTGCTCGACCCCATTCGTTGGAATAGGAAAAGTTCCAGCTACAAAGCAGAGTTTTTTTATTGGCTAGGGGGCAATCAGTGATATCACCAGTCCTTTCATCGTAGTTGATGTCAGCAACCAAATTGCTAACAAACCGTTTGCTTGGATGATCCGATCGTTGAAGCTGAAGAGGCAACAATGACTTCAAAGTTTGTTCTTCGCGCAGACTCTTGATGAACGGAAAACTGTAAATCTACTAATAACTCTGATCCATGTAAAATACAATGATTGAAGAAGAATAAAAGGACGCTTAGACAACAATTCAGATGCTTTCCCTACTTAACTGGCAGGACTAGTTAGATACGGTCAGTAACCACTAGTTATTGACCTATGAGTAATTAAATCTAGACCTTTAAATCTAAGTGGGCTCAGAAAATCCAGATCTAAGGGTTGTGAATTAAATGCATTTATTTTCTCTAGTTTTCTTAATCGGCTCTTATCTTCTTCGTTCTAACTCGGATTTCAAATTTTTTTTTTGCACAGATGGAACGAGTTCGTTGTGCTCTACAAAATGAGATCAATTTTCAATATTTTTTTAGAATTTTTTTTTCATACCTCCCGTTACCAACACCATAGCATATGGTAACTTCTTCGTTTTTAGTTGTTTTTAAAAATATTTGCTCAGAAGGAACGAGTTCATCACGATATATTGGATCTACACATTTCTAGGTAAAAAAAATACATGACCAAAAATTACCATACTTTACCACTATGATATGGGGGTGGTAACTTGTTGTAAACAATGATGAAAGTCGTATATGACAGTTAGTATATTTCTACTATCATTAGTGATGACAATGGGAAATGGCGAAACCTCAATTTCTATGCCCCGCCCCATGCTACTACGGGTATGGGGCGGAGCGAGTCGATCCTCTCTTACCTATTATTTGGAAAAGATACACGCAAATTTTACTTTTTACGATAAAACAAAGGGAAAAACACTTTATGAAAGAAAAATGTTGACAAAAGAATGAGTAATTGAGTATAACAAGTTGAAATATCGACTCTAACTAGTTCAATAAAAGGGAAAATAGGAGAAATATGTATAATTACCTTAAAAATTGAGATAAAAGTGGTCTAGAATGGGGACGGGCAGAGCAGGTCAGAAGTAGATACTCATGCCCTGCCCCACGCTGGTGCGGGTCGTGTAATACCCGCCCCATGCTGCTGCGGGTCGTGTAATACCCGCCTCACACTGCTGCGGGGCGGGTTCAAATTGCCATCACTAACTATCATTTATTCAACCTTCCTACAGTCTTAGTATGTTCATAACATCATGGTACTCTTTCTTACCATATGATATGCTCATATTTAATACCATTTGGTATTGACTGGTAAAAAAATGCTTCAATTTTTTTTGTTCTAAAAATATATCAAAGTGAATATCATTTTAAAGAACACAATTAATCTTATTTATCTTTGCAAAAATATTTAAATTCCGACTTAAGACGAGAGAGAAATCGTCCATTAAATATTAAAGAAGAATAGATAAAAGTCTTTCCATAAAAGAGAGATTCTGATGTCATGCTGATGTAAACGGGTTACTAATGTTGACTCACTCTAAAGTTACTGACCTGATCCGCTCTCGATTTACCGTAGAAAATCTGATACAGTCCTATCTCATTCCTCATTTACCACAAGGAGAATAATACTAACTACTAAGTAGAAAATTACAATAAAATCCTTATAAATATAACAAGTAACAATAAGCATCACAAACAATAATCACTCTGCAACCAACGACACAGAGTTGAACAATAACCCTCTGTAGATATTGAACTTGGGAAACCATGAAAATATATACGGTAGATGGCAATCATTTCCAGGTGAGCATGGGGCGGTTTTTGTTGGAAGGTGGAGTGACATGATTGCCATCAGAGTCGTAGATAATAACACCTGAAAAATCAGGAAGTTGACACTTTCCTCCCATCAGGATGTTCTTCTTCCATACCGGATTCATCCCACTCTGCTCCCTGCTAAACATGCTGCTTCCTCCATCATCACCGTCGCTACCGAGTGCTCCAGAGCCCGCGAGCATCATCGCGCCATGATTCTCGAGCTGTATGACTGGGTCGGGGACGAAACCGTAGCTCCAGTGGCTGCTGCGCCATCTTCTTCTTCGTCCATGTGAAGCACAAAGGAACAGGGCAAAGGCGCATAGGGCCACGGTCATGGCCGCCATGGCTGCCTGGGGTAAGGTCAGGGAGATATGCTTGGTGATTGTTGTGACGATGTGATGATGGTGGTGATGATGTATCATTAGATGGCGAGCCATGAAAAGAAAGGGGAGATGGCGGTTATAGGTGTAGGGTTTTTTCTTGATTGCGTTCTCCCTAGTGGACTTTGGAGGGTTACATATATATATATATCAGTAGAGACTAAATGGATGGGTTGGGGAGTAGTTTGCAATAGGATTTGATTACCTAAAACATTAGGAGTGTTGTCGTTTGACTATTACCAACGAATCCTTACATTTTTAGATCCCTCCCACTTTACTAATTCCTCTAGCTTAGCTCACATTGTTTTTTCTTTTCTCTTTGACATGTCTCTATATCAATCACTCGTCCTAATTGGACTAGGTATTGTTTTTTGGGCAATATTTAGCGGCAACCTTGGTTGCAGCGTGGAGCTGCTGCCCGCCCAGGTGGCGCCTTGTAATTGGGCACAAAATAATATTTAAACTTTTAATTATTAACTGAAATTAGAAGAAGTAGGAAAACGGAACGGGTATAAGTTTCTGTTAACTTTTTTTTACCAATTAATAAGGAGTGTCCTCTTCCAAAATTTATATTTAATTAAAATATAGAAATTAATTCAATAAATATTGAATATAAAGATATCATACTAGTAAAAATTACCATAAAAGTTGAGATATGTTTCATATTATGAAAAAAATGGGAAAATAAATTTGGTGTATAAACTGCTCAACAAATCTCTCTCGACATATCGTATTAGATAAGGATAGCCCGTAATTGAGTTTAATCATTAGGTTTTGAAAATAATTAGAGATAAAAATAGTCTTTTACTATTGTATTTGGATCTAAAACACAAAAAATAAATGAGTTGTATTCTAATTAAACATTTGTGAAACAAATTAAGCCAAACTATATTATAAATTCGATACCTCAATAAATTTGATACTTAATACCAATTGAAAAAAAAGAAGGAAGTCACAGAATGTGGGTATGGGTATCTACTTCCGACCCGCCCCGTTCTAGACTCATTTTATCTCAATTTCTTACAATATCTATACATATTTCTCCTATTTTGACTTTTCTTCAACTAGTTAGAGTCGATCTTTCAACTTGTTAGGCTCAATTATCCATTTTATCATCAATATTTTTCATTCTTAAAGTATTTTTCCTACGTTTTATTGTAAAAAGTAAAATTTACTTGTATTTTTTTTGAACAACAGGTAAGAGTGGGTCGACCCGCCTCGCCCCGTACCCGAGCGGTATTTACCCGCCCCGTACCCGAGCGGTATTTACCCGCCCCGATCCGTAGTAGCGTGGGGAGGGGCATGAGAATTGTGGTACCCACCCCGCCCCGCCCCATTGCCATCACTAGCTCGTTGGACTCAAAGTCTATATAGCCATGTACATCCATTCAGCTCATTGATTAATTGTAGGTTTTGAAAAAAATAATTAAAAAAAGAGAATAGAGTTTTGTTATTACACAGTATCATGTGTTTGAATTACCCAAACTACAACTTATATTCTCATACGCCAACTACAAACGAGAGTAGGATAATTGTTTTTTCAAATTTCAGGGTGTCCTGAACTCTTAATTATAATCTTTTTTTTTTTTCATACATAAATTACCACCGGGGTTGGATAATCACTTTTCAAAATTTAGGGGTGTCCCGGGACACCCCCAAATGCCCTGGGTCCACCCCTGGGTAGGGGTATTCAAACAGAGTGGTTACCATAGTAATCGTTTTAACTCGTAGTATTTGGATAATTTGGTTTGGTTAATTTGGATAATTGGTTTGGTATGGTTAAAATTTTTAGCTTGTTGGTTTAGGTGGTTTGGTTTGATTTCAGATACTTCTAACCAATCAAACTAAATTAACCAATTAAGTAATTAGCCATATATATCATATACACATACTTAATACTTTGCATAACCACTCAATAATCAAATGTAGGATAATTGTATTAGTTACATGTATTTATATTAAGGGTTAACTATAATTATGAGTTGATTATTATTTGTTACTCATTATATAAATTGCAAATTGATACACTAACCAAAAATTTCCTCACTTAATGACAGTGTGATGTTATGGTTATTTTGGTTAACCAATTAACCAAATTGATTAAACTTTAGTTTGGTTAATTTGGTTATTGTATTAGTTTGGACAGTTTGGTTATAATATTGTATTCTATGGTTAATAAAATGGGTAATGTCTATTTTTATCCAAACATTTTTTAGATTCTTTTAATATATTGATGCATTATGAAAGATTTGGATAATTAATATTGTAGTATTGTCTTGATTGTTTGTACCCAAAATGTGAGAGAATTATGATATTATTTCATATTAGACGTATTTAATATAAGATATGGTTCACATTGTTTTTTACACTAAGAATAATATTATTATAGATGTGTTAGCTTATAATGAATAACGTCATTAGTTTATTTTGATAAATTTTAATAAAAAATACTAGACATAAGTTGAAGCAAATTGTACGTCACCAAAATTCAATGTGGTCCAGTTTAACCGGATTGAACTGTTTTCCATATGAACCACCAACTTAAAGAAAAAAACACAATGTTGTTCTTGTAATATCCATGGTTAGCCTCGAAACATTTGGGCCTTGGTAAGATAGACGGGCTGAAAACCTACTGTGGAGAAGGCCAGGCCCAGGAAGCTCCAGAGACATCCCAACAAAATAAAGCGTCAGTCAGTCTCAGCCTCTCAGGTTCCTCTCCACTCCTCTTCCTCGCTTCCCCTTGCTAAAAGCTCTATCGAGGCATATTATCAAACGCCAAGAATGCATAGACGATTCCGTCCTTCTCTCTGCAAATCCCTTCTCCAACCCTATTGTCGGACCCCTCAGCTTCCATTTTCTCCGGATTCAATCCCTCCGCCTCATGGATTCGTCAAGCTCCTCCGACAATTTCACCTCGTCCACACCGGCATCACAGGGAATCTCCACACTCAGACGCCCCCTTTTCACCGGAACCCCCAAACCCAGAAACCGCGTACGGGCACGGCAAGGAGGTGGAGCTCGGGGTCGGATTTGGATGTCGACAGGGAAGTAGACACGATAAATCTCAAGTTCGCAGAGGCCAGAGAGGAGCTGGAGATGGCTATGGATTCGAAGGAGACTGTCTACTTCGACGAGGAAGCTGAATGTGCGAGAGATGCGGTGAACGAGGTCCTGGGCTTGTACGACTCGCTTCTCGTGAAGTTGCCGGAGGGCGAGAGGGGCGCCGTGCAGAGGTCGATGGGGCTCAAGATGGAGCAATTGAAGGCTGAAGTCAAACAGTTGGAAGATTGAAGAATTGATCGTTGAAGTTATGGAGGTTGGTATTCTTGTTTAATCGTGTATTCTTGCTCCCCCTTTGAGGTTATTTGAGGGAGATTTGCTAAATGGTGAAGGAAATAGACGATGCTTTAAAAAGTTCGGATCTTTTTTGTTGATTGGCTTAGTTAGTGTATAAGCTCAAAGGAAGTTCCTTTCTGCTTTTACGTTGCTATAATCCTAATAAATTGGATACAATGTTGTTCACTGAACCATCTTTGCCTTCTGGTGAACTCAATTTGGGCTTGATATGGAAAGGAAGAGTATTTGATATATGTGATTCACCTGGAAGTGTCTCTGCTGAAACTTTTATCAGGTTCAAATTCACAACCGACTTCTCAAAGGAAATGTCTAGTTCTCTCAATCTCTCTTCAACTTGTTCGTATGCTTAGCTGTTTTCCTGTGGGCATATTAGTTAGGTATCGGGTTCGTTATACTTATAATTCAGTCAGCACAACAGACTCTTTTGAAAAGAATGATACTAAGATGTTAGTTGCTCCGAGCCTCTGACATTTAAAATGTAAGATGTCTGCTGCAAATGCCTGTCCAAGTCATCTAGAGCATGCTTGTTTCCTTGAGGAACAAGCACACTGTTTTACCTGTTTAAGTTTGTAATGGTGTGCAACCATAGTTGCCAATTGGCCGTTGCAGCTTCCTCAGTTGTGCTAATTGCTTGGATGGCGCTCCATGGTTTTAGTTAAGTGAGTACCAGATTTAGTAATGTCGTGTGAAATTTGATAATATATCTCTCAGCCTGATATGGATGAATCGATTGGAAATTCAGGACAGCTTCCGTGGTAATTGACTGTGCATCAGTGCATGCTACAGCTACATAGCTTCTGCTGTTAAACAAAATATGTCTGAGAGGTCTGAATATCGGCGATAGAAATTCCTGGGATTATGTTGTATGATTAGAAAAAGAAGCAATGGTTCTTCCCTGGATATTTTTATTATTTGCTTGGTTAGCATCATTGGTATTCAGTTCATTACTAGTGGTTAGTTGACAACTTATCAGTTTTAAGCTGAATTGCATTGTCAATCAAGCCTGAAAGTCTATTAGATTTCTGATAGTCTTTCCAATTCTGTGGCGTGTTTGATTGCTGACTGGTTCTTCATAGTGTGTGAAATTCAGAACATCATAAGCATTCCAGTTTAGCTGTTGCTCATATGATCTTTCCAACTCTACTTTGGTATGATATGAAACCTGTAAATGTATTTGGTATGGTGCATTGCATTCATGCCAAAATCTAGTTATATGGCTCCTGGAACACCAGCACAGAAACAATGCTGCCAATAGCAAAAATAAGGATTAGAGCATCAAATGTAAGAGCCGTCATCCCCTGATCGCTCAGTTTCAAGTTTATCCCTCCAAGTCGATCAACCATATCAGGAACCGATTTGTGGTTGGTGAAATCCAGCTCCCTGGGATCCTCCAACTTCATCCTCATCTTCTCAGCTTGCCTGCTACTAGGCTCTTGTGCAAGCGACCAATCATAGAATCTACGTGTCTCGGGGTCGCAAAGGAGAGCATAGATTGTTCTCAGCCTCATGAACTTTTCTGAAGCAGCTTTCAGAGGGAGTGATGCTGTGTCTGGATGGTACTCTTTGGATAGCCGCAGCTAAGCTGATTTAATCTCTTCCGGGTCTGCTTCTGGCTGCACCCAAAGGGACCTGATGTGGGTTTTTTTTCTTTAAATGGGTGGGATTGGTCATTTGCAGGGAATTCTGTATACGGTGCACGTGAATGGTCTGAATGGAGAAGATATTTTTTTTTTTAATAGCATTTTGTACCTCTATACTTTTTTTTTTCATTTTCTTTTTCAATAGATCACTTGCATTAACAAGAAGAAAGATAGACCGTCTATAGTACATAACGCGCCCAGGCGCGAAAATCAAAACCCGACAAACGCATAGGAAACAAGAAAAGGCCTTTTTTAGTCACCAAATGGCCACTCCATTGTTATTCCTACCTATAAATCAGATTGAGAAATTATGAAAACTTCTCTTCCATTGATGAATCTCGCGGAGTAAGACTCCATCCTTAGTGTCCATAAGCACATCATCTCGCACTTTACTGATCACGACCTGAGCATCTCCTTGGAATACAACCTCGTCGTAGATCCTTCAAAGAGCACCAACGGATTGCATCCCGAAAAGCCGCCATCTCCACCAAGTACGGATCATCCAAGCCTGTGGATGTAAATTCCTGCACAAAGAGAATACTCATCGACCTATCTTGAACCACGAACCCCCCGCCACATGTGAACCAGTGCTGACAGCCCCATCCACAAATCAAAACAGCTGGGAGCCGACCTCGTCAGTAAGAACTCCGATGCGAGGAGCCACCCGGGGAGGAGGGGCCAGCTAGCCAAGCTCCGACCATTCTCGCAGGTGATACACTTACTGCCGATGAAGAGCCAAAGTAGTATATTGTACAAATGTATCCCTATACCCCTATATTGTTGTAAATTACAAATGTATCTCTCTATTAAATTTTTGCACGAATATACCATTCTACTATTCAAACGTAACAAATATATCCTTCCGCCCAATTATCTGTTAATTAATCGTTTAGTGGACTGAGAATTGACCGAATGCGGGTTAATTCCACAAATTTTGTTTTTTTTTTTAATTTTACCCAATGTTCAAGAAGACGCTAGGCGCTATCTAGGCGAGGAGGCACCGCCCAGGCCGATTAGTCGTTGCCTAGGCGAGATTAAACGTTGAAAAAAATATGATAGCTAAGCCATATTCCACAAAAAACCCAAGTCGCCATATCATTATTCATCCATTCATGTACACATACAACCCTTTTCCCTTATACCAAACATCTCAAGTCGCCAACTATGAGGAGGGATCTCACTGCTGGTCAATGAGGGGAGCGGCTGGTCAATGGAAATGGGAAATAGAATAGGGAATGGGGTTTTCACAAAAAAGCTACACTTTCCCCCTTTATTAGTTGTTCTGGGCGTCGCCCACCAGAGTGAAAACTCGCCTCCGAGTGCCTAGGTGCCTAGATCAATCGCCTAGAGTTAGACGGGGCGATTTCCTCCTGCCCAGCTATTAATCGCGCCTAGGCGAGAGATTAATCGCGTCTTCTTGAACACTGATTTTACCACCAATATGGTGGATTAAAAACTATATACACATATTGTGTCTTGTATAGGGTTAGAAGCGAGCCCGTCTGAGACTCAGGCGGAGCCGCTGGCAGGGCAATCTCGCCTGAGTCTGAGGCGGGGGCGCCCTTACCCCTATTTACTTTGCCTCCCCTCCACTCGCATCTTATCATATCCTCTCCCAGAAACCACCACCAACCACCACCGCTTCTCCTTCCAGCGGTCCCGTCCGACTCCAAGCTGCCTTGCCTCAGCTACACCCGATTTCGCCATTCATCTTCCTTCTTCCTCCCGCGTCTCCCCAGCCAGCAGCAGATATAGTGGGGAGAATGTCCGACGACGAGGAACCAATCGCCGACAGAGGAATGGGGAGAGGGCGGCGAGGTCGAGGTCGTGGCGGTGGCAACCCCTATCGAGCGGCGCCTGCCAGATTTCTTGCCGGCGGCTAGGATTATTTGAATTTAGTTAATTTTTTTTATGTTCTGATTAATTTTTTTTTCCAGTTCCTAGGATTATGGATAGTTATTCCATGAGACCACCACCTGCGACAATTGATACAACTCCGGTGGATCCGGTACTTCTTTGGGGACATGAGCACCATCGTATTGACTCAGTTTGGGCAAACGAGGTAAGTCCTTCAACTACTTCTATAGCTTTTTTATTAGGTGAACTGAACTGAAATTAGAATAGAATTACGCATGAAATATGTTAAAATTAGAATAAGTTTAGATTAGATATATAAATACTAGGTGAACTGAATTTAGAAGTACGCATGAAATTGAATTAATATAAGTTTTGTGCACTTTACGCTGGTGATCGCCCTTACCATATTCGAGGTATGAGCAATTTAGTCAGATACCATTCACGTTATCAGACGTAACTCCTCGAGGCGAGCTTGTTTAGGTTTCTGTCATTTGTCCGTACTACTGCTAATTCGGGTTTGATTACTGCGCTAGTAGAGCGTTGGCGACCCTAGACATCGACCTTCCACATGTCGTTTGGTGAGGTGACGATCACTTTAGAGGACGTTGCGTCACTGACCAGTCTAGCGATCGACGGTGATGCCGTCATAGTAGACATACCAAACGAGGACTTGTCGGAGACGTGTCTTCGACTGTTAGGACAGGCTCCTAATGATCTTTCCGGCGGTATCATTAGGATTGCTTGGCTCAGGTATACATTCGATCAACTGCCTCCAGATGCATCACCAGAGACTACAGAGTAGTTTGCACGGGCTTATGCTCTATCTCTGATGGGTGGTGTATTGTTCCCCGCTCGGTCTGGAGGTTCATTTCATCTACATTACCTACTGTTGGTGGAGAATTGGCAAAGAGCTGGGAGGTTTGCCTGGGGAGCAATTGTTTTATGCTACATGTACCATGAGATGGGTAGGTCAAGGCTGCAAATGACGCAGTCCGCTTCACTAGGTGGTGACCTTGGTGGATGGTCCGCCTTACTACAACTCTGGGCGTGGGAGCGATTTCCTCATACAGCACCACTACATACAGAGACGGGGCGCAGATTACCGAGGACGGAGACATCATTTCGATCGGTCAAAACTTGAACGTGACTTATGAACCATGGCCAACTGTCACTATTTTCGCTCTCTACTATGACAAATGCAATTGGAAAAATCTTCTTCCGACCATCAAATGAGCTCGTCATGAGTAGCACTCCTTTATACTTTCCAGTAAGAAATTTTCCATCAATAACCATGACTCCTGGACAATTCTTCAATCCATCTATACAAGGTCCATAAGCCCAGAATACTCGCTGAAAGATCAAATGACGTGGTTGCGATGAAGGAACTCTTACCCAATCAATCAATAATGTTGACATTTTTATCTTTACCACCTGCAAGAATGTTTGCAAATAATCGTAGGATTCGTCCCAATTTCCATGCAACTTCTCCAATGCTCTTTGTTTTCCATACCAAGCCTTCTTGTAAGTAACTTGCATATTAAACTTATCTTTCAACTCGGCCTGCACAACTAGAACACTAAGATTTGGTTGGGCACATACCATATGTTTCACGGATTCAGATATAACGTCGATATCAAGATGGCGATGATCTATCGGTTGAGTCGTACTTCTACAAGAATGCACCAACTCGACCTTTCTCACAGTCCATTCGCTTCCAACATCTCGACATCGAAACCGCACCATCCAAGGACAATGGTCATCCTTGTGCTTCAAGCATCTGACCTTCCAGATTGAAGGTGACGACTCCACCATACCATACTGAAAGTTGCGTTGTAGTGTGTGGTGTTAATCGCCACCTGTGCAACTTGTTTCGAGTGAAATATCTGCCCTTTGTAGTATTCTCCTTCAAAACCAACAACAATAGGCATTGGAATTACGCCATATGAATCAACATATGATAATTCGTCATCCTCTTCATTACCATGCAAGTAAAAATATGGAGGATAATTAGATTGCTCTCCTTCCCCCTCTTCCTCCTCCTCCTCCTCCTCTTCTCCATCAACATCGTCATGATCGGATGACATGCTCCATATCTCATCTTCTTCCTCTCCACCTTGATACTCACTGAGCTCAACATGTATCTCAGCACCCAAATAATAAGGGTTTTGTGCCATAAAATTCCAAAGGGCATTCAAGCTATCATCATCATCATTAATAGGCATCGCATAATGAAATAAAACACCATTCTGCCATTCTGGAAGACAGTAAGTGAAACCTGTGATCACATCACTATCTTGTACTGTTTCGTTGTTACGCCGTATTCTGTGAATTTGATTCTCACAAAGTTTGTGATATGTCACCCTGGATGGCACCGTCAACTGAAAAATTGCACCACCAACGAAATGGACGCCCAAATTATCCTCTACTTTCTCCGATTTTCACCGAACGACTAGTTCAAATCTTCTAAAATCACTACATAAAAAAAACTCACTAAATTTACTACTAAACAAAATCATAATTAGCATTTGAAGAATATAATTAAAAAAATAAATGTGCCTCTTATCTATTAGCCATCTTTGCAGCAGCAACGAGAGCTTCTTTCGTCTAACTTTGGTGGTGGGGTGAGATTGAAATGAAAATCGCTGTGAATATATGGTGCTGGAGTGGGTATGTATGGCAGGGAACCTGCCGCAGACTCAGGCACCCCCGCTAGCCATCAAGCACGTCTCAGTCTGGGGGCGCCATCGCTGGTCGTTCAACTTTGGACATTCAACAACCAAGAGAAGTGCGCCAACGCCCCAATCTCGTGCGGACCCGCTCAAATTGGTTTTAAAAAATTCGTATAGCATGTCCGCCTGAGTCTCGGGCGGTCTCGCTCCTAACCCTCTACAAAACATAATATGTGTGCAAATAGTTTTTAAACCACCATATTGGTGGTAAAATTAAAAAAAATATATTTCTTGAATTAATCCTCCGAATGCCTTCATTTAATGTTAATTTCATTTAAATTAATTTCTCACCTTACTTCATTAAAAATTAAAACCTAACAACCCAGCCCACTTTCACTTTTTCCTCGGCTCCTCGCTCCCCGACGGCCATCAACTATCCATGATACCGTAGAAGAGCAGCAATATTGTCCCTGAAAGCATCCCCATTTGGGGAAGGA